CGATTAAGAGGTTGGCTCTTAATGTAACCATTAAGAGCCAAACAAACAGCCCCTTAGATTAAATATAAAACCTAAAATAAAAGGAAAAAATGGAGAAAAAAGGAAGACATGAATACTAGTACAAAGAGATGTCATGTCAACATTATATGTTTCTGCTTTATAGATATATATAGAATATAGATTAACTATTTAATCCAAAATGAATTAAAATAATCACAAATAAAAAAAACCATGTAAATAAAAAGTTGCCATCATTTTCTTTATATAATCACTCCCAATGTTCCAACATATCATCTTTTTATCAAAGTGAGAGATAGATAAAATTAACTACAATTCAATATTTTATAATTCTCAATCAACATTGTGTCATATCATGTCTTTTGGTTCTTACTTATAGATTATAAATTATATATTTATAGATATAAAAGTTTAAAGGTTTATTAGATCATTATATGTAACTTAAATATAAAGTAAATGAAAGGTTTATTCATTTAATGATATGTTTTTATTTATAATAATTCAAAAATTGGAAAAAATAGCAACCAACGATTCTAGCTTTCTCAAGATGCCACGTCATCTTTTGATGATTCTCCTTTATATATATATATATATAGATTTATTTTGGTCTGTTAAGTACATTGTTATCAATTTATTCAAAGGAATTGATCAAAAGATAGAACATATATCATGGGTATAAAGTCACCATCACAATGCTTAACATAATATCATGGGTATAAAGTCACTATCACAATGCTTAACATAATATAATGGTCAAGACCTAAATAATAGAATTGTATATTCAGTCATTCATAACAATTGACTTAATGCATATTAAGATGGTTGAAAATCATGCCTCGTTGAGCTCTAACATATTTTTATTTATTAATTATTAATTTTTAGATGATAATTTATATCTAATTTTATATATTTAATTTAACTATTTTGAAAATTACAATTAACTGCCTTTAACTTAATAGTTGTATCTAGAGTATGTCGCTTTGCAACCTCTAATAGTTGGAAATTTTGCTTCAGATTAGAGCTGTTCACGAGCGGGATGACCCGCTAGACCCGTCCTATCCAGTCTGTTAAAAAAGTGGGTTTGAATTACCATTCTCGAAAAATGAACGGGCCTGAACTGACTTGTTAAAATTAATGGGTGGATATGGGTGATAGAAAAAAATATTTGGACAGGCCCGCCAAGCCCATTTATATTTTTATAATAATTAACTTTTTAATTAAAATTTTAAATAAAATTGAAAATTCTTAATATTTATCAATTTCTACTTAATTATGACTCATGATAATAATATTCTTTAAAAATCTTAAATTTGAAAATATAATTACCTCAATTGATCATTTTCTTATTATCTCATTTAATCATTTTCTTTATCAGTACTTCATATTTAGTGAAACAATTTCTTTCTAAAGTATGTATATTGTTATGTATTCACGTCAAATCTTAAGTTGGAAAAATTATTATGTATTTTGAATTATTTTACGTAACTTCTGATTTTATATAAGTTTTGTTTTCAAAAAAAATAACAAAGATTTTTAAGCCCGTGGGCAAGCCCGGCCCATTTATTAGGCGGGCATAGGTAAGTTTTCAAGTCCGTAAAAACGAGTTTGGTTTTACCATATTAGGCCCGTTGGATAAAAAATAGGTTAAGCCTGGCCCAAGTCCGGCCCAAACCTACAAATAATCAGCTCTACTTCAAATGCATCACTGCAATGTACGAGTTAATATATTTTTGTACGAACTTATAATATATAATTATATGTATGCATATATATATACACACACACGGTTGTAATACATAGTTGCTTTCTTTATATGATTACAGTTTTAACATGTATACATATACACGAAATCTAGTTTTGTTAACTCTCGTTACTGTTGGTGTACCTTGCCCAAAATAAATGATGCATTAATCAGATAGATACATAAAGTATATGAACAGTAATTCATTTCTACGGCTAGTATATTTTATGATGTCAAATCTTGTAAATGTGTTTGGCTCAATATTTGATTCATCGAGAACCAAACAATCGATCCCTTGCTACCAACCGATAGTTATATTGCACTTTAGCCCTAGATGTCAGTAACGATCATCATCTTCCTTTTCGTTCGTTTTTTTAATCCTTAATATCTTTTAAAATGAAATTTGAACGATAGTTCAACGAGTCACTTAGGAATATATAACTTTAAATAAAAATTTTAATTAAATCCATAACTTTCTGATCTATTAATAAAAGTAGTTTATACTTATCAGAAGATCATGAATTTAATTAAAATCTCATTTAAAATTGTATTCTAAATTTATCGTATTTTCACCATAAAAATTAGTTATGAGGTCTGGTAGGTCTTTTTAGAGGTGATTTAGGGGTCGTTTACCAAATGCTTACTCAGGCAAACGCTTACCAAATTACATTACCTTATCGGATGAACATGACAAGTACTAAGAATTTTACCCGGTAAGAACGAGGCAACGACTGAGAGTCTCACCCGGTAAGTGAGGGCAATGACTTTTACCACGGTCAACTCTTGCCGGGTAAATTGTTGTATAGAAAGCCGTTTTTGTTGACTAAAATCTTACCCGGTAAGTAAATGATAATGTTGGATTTTACCGTTGGATGCTTACCGGGTAAGTGTTTGGTAACCGTCCCCTTAGTTACACAACTTTGAATTAAATTTCAGAGTAAACTACAGATTTGGTACCTATAATTTGTCAAAAGTAACACTTTTTTGTCTTTTGCGGCTTCGAAATTACAAGATTACGATCATGTTTTGTAAAAACGTTCGGATTTGGTCTCTCCCTCTAACGGTCAATGAAAAAGTTTCGTTAAATTAGAGATATTTTCGTTCTTTCGTCGATTTTTTTGTCATTTACCTAATTAAAAATCAAAGGACCAAAATCATAAAATATTTTGATCAAATAAAAGACGAAAAATTCGACATGAGAACAAAATATCACCCATTTAACAAACCTTCTAACGGTCATTAGAATAGAAGATCAAATCTGAACGTTTTTGTAAACCAAAATGACCATCTTGTAATTTCAAAATTGCAAGTAAAAAAAATGTTATTTTCGACAAATCACAATAACCAAGGCCTTGTTTTTTTTTTATATAAAATAACTCTTATTAACCTCTTATGTCTGATTTGTTAAGAGGTAAGACCATTCAAACTGTCTGTTTTTCCAATTTTTCAGAGACACTTATGTCTTATTGTTCTCTTATCTTGTAAGAGGTAAACCAACCTCTTATTTGTCTCTTATTGTTTTTCAAACTCTCAACAACGGCATTTCTCAATTTTTAACCTTAATCGATCATTTTTCTCGATCAATCATTACCAAATCAATCCTCACGTCTCTCAATTGACATATTTTTAGTAGAATTTAAATGTGTTAAATATGTTAATGACATATTTTCGTTTAAATGAATGTTAGTTCTATAATTTAGATGTAAATTTTATAGAAATTATGTAAATTTTATTTATAAATTCAACAATATAATTTTTTAATGAATAAAATAGACAATTTAAACAAGTTCAGACGTTTTTCGGTTTACAAAAACAAACAGTTCTATTGATTCAGATTCCAGACGTCAACTTCAAGTCTTTAAATAAGAAGTGAAATAAGATTTCAAACTTCAACCCATCTTAACAAGCAAAGTCCACCGAATAAAAGGTTTATATATTTAATTAAAATAAGTAAATTTAGAAAATTTAGAATTTATCTAAAAATCACTTATTCTTGAAAATAATAATGTTCATGACGTTTGGAAACACACGTCTTTCGTAGGAAAGAAACCAAAATCATATGTACTCTCTGAGTTCTTGGATTCAAAAACATGCTACCACCAACCCATCACTCTTCAAGTTCTTGAATCTCCTCCACTATCTGATCTCTGGAAATCCCTTGTCGAATCATCGAAACCCCCTTCGAATTCTCCAAGATTAATCTCTGCAACTGAATCCATGGAAATCGATATCCTTGCTGCCGTTATAGACTCGTGCTCTGTTTTTGAATCTTCAATTTCTTCACAGATTTCGCTCTCTGGGACAAGATTCCAATCGATTTCAACATCATCCTCTGAATTTTCAATCTGGGTATTTTGGTTTGATTCAGACCGGTGAGAGAAGCTTCGATCATTCGGACTCAAAACCGCACTCAAAGTGTTCGACAAAATGCCTGCACGACAAAGTGGGCAGTTCGTATGCGATCTTAACCACGTATCAATACACGGTATGTGAAATGCATGGTTACATTTCGGCAACAATCGTAAAGTTTCATCATCTTGAAATTCGCTCAAACAAACTGAACAATCGGTGCCGTCGATCAAGTTATCGTCTTTCTTGAACCTGATAATAGTAATGGAATTGATCACCGATGGTTGGAGGCCGACGGTGGTGATGTACCAGATGGGATGATCAACTTCAAACGTATGATCTTCATCGGAAAAGTCTTCTGCTTCGCCGGAGATTTGTGTAGCTGGAGGCCGCCGGAAACGTGTATAGCATCTTACCATAATAAGGTAGTAGCTGATAAAGAGAAAGGCACTGCCAAGCAAGGCTGCTACGATTATAACATAAGGTGATAAGTGGGTGGCGGTGGTGATATGCGGTGGTTGTGGTGGAGGCTGCGGTGGCCAAAAGAATTCTGGATAGCTGCACTTGTATGGACATGTTGGACCACAATCGGAACAGGTTGAATTTTGGTTGGATTCTGGTTCCGGCAGCAGTTTCCGGTGGTTGATTTCCATTGCCGGAGGTAAGAAGGTGGTGGTGGTAGTGGGTGGGTGGGTGAAAAATCTGGCGGTGGAGAGGATAAAATTGTAAGAATTTGAGGTCGGTTAATTGGTGAGGAGGATTAATCATATAGAATAGTTCGTGCTCTTGTAGGTGGTGTGTCATTGTCACTTCATTGTGGCTCGTATGTGTGTGTGTATATATATATATATATATATATATATACTAAAATCTTACTCGCGTAATGCAGCGAGGTATATCGTGATTTTAATATTTTATTTTATTTTTTATCTCAGTTGATGTTATAATATGGTTTTATGTGATTTTGAGAAAACAATGATGTTTTTATTTTTGAATAAAATATATGTTTAAAGATATCATAAAAATTTGACAAAAATATATTGATATTAGTATCAAATTAACTATTTGAAATTCCTCATTTTTTTGTGTAATTTTTAATTCAATTTTTTATAATTTAATTTATATACAATAACGAAATAA